GTTCTGTCGTTAGTTTTTTCTTGCGCTTGCTAAAACTTTAATTGTACAAGTATTAAACAATTTGTTTTGTTTAATATTTATAGCACGTTTTATTGCAATACACTTTTTCGGTATAACAATGGTACTCGCGAATTTCCGATCTGAATTCCCCGATTCTTTTATATATTTTCTGCACTTATTGCTGGCTGCGAGTGATTCTAATTTTGTCGTTCGCCTGCGCCCTGCTTTGACAAGATTGTAAAGAGTAACCAGACCGAAGGTTCTTGAAGAAAATAGGGAAAGGTGTTGCCGTACGAAAAGGGTCTATGTCCTTTTTTTGTGCAAAATATAAGGGCTTAAGTTTCCATTTTAAAAAGAACATTGAAAAACATGCAAACGCCTCAGCTCAGCCTTTTAAAAGCGTTTCGAAAAAGTTAGCGCTGCTTAAGAAATAAATTTAGACAAGTTTCAAAATCCGACAAAACAAAATTGACTGCGCAACCTGCCGATCAACTTACTTTGACGGCGTTGTTATTAAAAATACCGGCGTTCAAACCTGTCACCACAACTGTCAAGTGTCACATTTTTCACGTGTTTACAGCTGCATGAAGCATTTTTACAAGTTTCTTGGATTTTTGGTAGTTTCGTCTTATTTTAATTTAAATCATGGGAAAAATCAAGACTGAACCTATCGAGCAAGACACTTCCGTTGTATCTGTAGCGAATGTAACAGTCAAAGAAGAGGACTCTTATGATGACAAACTAAAGTATGTGAACAGCATTGCACAGCCAATGGCCTCGAAGAAAATGTCCAAAAAGTGCTATAAACTTATTAAGAAGGCGATGAAACATAAAACTTACCTGCGTAATGGTCTTAAGGATGTGCAGGCTCGTCTACGCAAAGGCGAAACTGGGTAAGTGGGATGCTCAACACTGATTTCGTTCGGAATCCTTATAGCATAACGAAAACTTTTCTAATACATAATTCAAATCATCCACTTTTAGCATTTGCATCTTCGCTGGTGACGTGACACCCATTGATATTATGTGCCACTTGCCGGCTGTTTGCGAAGAGAAGGGCATACCGTACGCCTACACACCAAGTCGTGCTGATTTAGGTGCCGCTNTATTTAGCAGTTTTATGTCTACTTTAGCTTAAGAGATTTCCTAGTTTAAATAAAATAATAAATTGTACAAAAAAAACGGTATATGAATCTGTTTCATTTTCATCAAGGAAAGCGTAATTTTGATAGCATCCTGAGGCCTTTTGGACTGGGATATATGAAAACACGCTTTATTTTTGGTTGTCCCTGTGGGATCTTTTTTAT